CTGGGCTGGAGGAGCAGCTTGCGGGCGAGGCTGCAGCCAAGGTGCGTACCAGGCAGGGGCGCTCGCTGCTTTGCAGCCGCCGGACGCGCGTGTGCGACGTGAATCGCCAGACACCTTAGTGAATGGCCAGACACCTTAGTGAATGGCCAGACACACGCGTGCACGCCGCTGGAGGCGGTTGATGTGTGTTGTCGTTGCTGACCCGATCCACTCATAAAACGCGGCAGGCCGAGTGGAGCGCCAAGGCCCGGGAGCTTGCGTCGCAGCTAGAGGGCGCGCAGGCCGCCGCGCAGCGCGAGGCGGCGCAGCTGCAGCAGCGCGCCGCCGCGCTCGAGCGCGACCTCGAGGCTGCGCGCTCCGGCGCGGCAGCGGCGGAGCAGCTCGCGGCGCGCGCGCTCGCCGCGGAGCGCGCGGCGAAGGACGGGCACGCGGTGCGCGCGCAGCTGCTGGAGCGGCAGCTGCAGGAGGTGGCCGCGCAGTCTGAGGAGCTGGCTGCAAGGGTGGGGGACCTCGAGGTGTCCAAGGCGCGCGCCGAGGGCCGCGCGGCAGTGGCCGAGGCCGCCGCAGCCGGCGCGTCCGAGGGCGAGGTCGCGGCGCAGCTGTCGGCGCTGCGCAGCCAGGTGCGCCAGCAGGAGGAGGAGCTGGCGGCAGCGGGGCAGGCGGTCAAGGTGGCGGCGGCGGCAGGCGCGCTGCAGCGGCAGCTGGAGCGCGCGCGCGCGGAGGCGGCAGCGGCGCAGCAGCTGGCGGCCAGGCTGCCGGATGTGCAGGCGGAGGCGGGGCGCATGCGGGCGGAGCTGGAGCAGTGGCGGGTGCTGTTCAAGGTGCGATTGCGCGCGCGGCGCGCGGCGCAATGCGGCAAGGAGTGCCACAAAAAACACCTTGACTTGCCGTCCCCAAAGACAAAGCTAAACACCACCATCTCCTACAAAATTGAGTTCACGGCGACCCCAGAAAACCAGCTGCAGCTGACGCCGCACCACCACCGGCCCTGCAGAAGGTGACCGGCCAGGAGCACCCCAGCCCCAAGGCCGTCCAGGCGCTGCAGGACGACGCGCTGCGCGCGCAGCAGCAGCTGTCCGACGCGCGCGCCGAGCTCGCCGAGGCCCGCGCGCGCGCCGACGAGACCGCCAAGGCGCGCGCCGCGGCGCAGGCGGCCGCCGCGCGCCATGAGGGCGACGCGCGCGCGGCCGGGCGGCGGCTTCAGCTGGCGGAGGGGCGGCTGGCGGTGGTGCGGAAGGAGGTGGAGGGGCTGAAGCACCTGCTGTCCCTATTGGAGGCGGCGGAGACAGAGCAGGGGGGCGGCGGCGGCGGCGGCGGCGACGGCAGCAGCGCGGTGGCGGAGGCCAGGGCGGGGGCGCTCGCGGGCGAGCTGGAGGCGGCGCGCGCGCAGTTGGCGTCTGCCGAGGCGCTCGCGGCGACGGCGGCGGAGGGGGAGGCGCGGCACAAGCGGGAGGCGGACGAGGCGCGGGCGGACGCGCAGGCGCTCGAGCGGGAAGTGGAGGCGTTGGGCAGGGAGGTCGCGCGGCTGCAGGTGGGGGTCTGGGGGAGAGTACGCCCCAATTTTGATGACACATGTGCACCTAATAAAGCCTGCCCTTGTTTATGTGTGCTCGTTCAGCCGTTTGGCAACGGGGTTGGCAGCAACCCTCGTGGCTAGGTGGCCGGTTCACCAACTCATCTGTAATCGTGCCCACCCAGACGTGCGTCGCCGCCGGCGACTACAACCCCGCGACGACGCGCATCCTGCACATGGCGGCCAACCCTGCCTCAGAGCGGCGCCGCCTGGACGCAGAGGCCAGCATCGCGCGGCTGCAGGCAGAGTGCGACGCGCTGCGCAGGCAGCTGACGGCGGCGCGCGGCAGCGGCAGGGACGGCGGCGGCGGCGGCGGCAGCGGCGGCGGCACGGCCGGCGCTACGGGCGAAGAGGGTGCGTGCTGGGCTGCTGCATCTAACGAGCAGTAGTATACGACCTTGCCCCTCCTCCACTTGCTCCTGCAAACAAAGACACTCTCACAACACACACACACACACACATGCACGTACTTGAACAAGCCCACGCTGCCCCCCCTGCACCCCCCAGGTGTCGCACTGGCGCAAAAGGAGGCCGAGCTGGCCATGGTGCAGCGCCAGCTGGCGCAGCTCAGCAAGCAGACCTCCAAGCTCAAGGAGCTGTTTGGGGAGCAGGCCAAGGCCTTCAGGCGCGCGCCGCGGCTGCGGCATCGCTCTCGACGCCGACCCCTGGCCTATAACCTATTGGTGCTGCGACACAGGGAGCGGCAGCCAACGCTGCGAGACCTGGATGCAAACGCGGGCATCTGCCAGGCCCGTCATATTACTTCACACACGTGCCCTTGCTGAACGCCAGGCCCGTGTGCGCCCCCCCCCCCCTACACACACACACACACCGCAGGGAGGCGGTGCGCTGCCTGTTTGGCTACAAGGTTGACATGCAGGTCTCAGCGCCAGGCAGCCTGCAGGGCGCACTGGTCGTGCTGCGCCCCGAGCCCCCCGCCGCGCGCGCCGTCGCGCCGCCCGGCGACCGCGACCCGCAGCTGCAGTTCCGCTTCACAGCCGCGACCGGGCGGCTGGAGCTGCTGCCGACGCCGCTGGGGCGCGTGGACTTTGTGCGGCGCAGCGCGGCGGCGCTCATTGAGGGCGCGGGCAGCGTGCCGTGGTTCACGGGCAACCTCATGTCGGACCTCTGCCAGAAGAGCACCGCGGGGCCCCCCGGGGGCGGCGGCGGCGGCTAGGCATGCAGCAAGATGCACGCTACGACGCTCGTGTAACGTGCGCCATTCATTGGAGCGGAGCTCCAGCTCAATGGTTTGTGGGTTGAGCTAAGGTCAGCCGCCTGCTACGGCAAAAAGCTGCGATGGCAGCGCGCAACCTCTAGAACACAAATAGAACACAAACAACGAGCCCACACGAGACAAGCCCCGCGGACCCCCTTGCCCACCCTTTGGGCCTTAGCAAAGGCACATCACAAACAGTCGTCGGTTGGGAGGCGGCCGACTCTTTGCAATGTGCCTTTGCTGGCCGCCGACTCACCCGGACAAAAACCCCACACCAGACCCCAACTCCAAAGGCAAACTGCGAACGCCCCGCCCCCGACCACGACAAGGCCCCCCCTCCCAAAACCGTCCTCACTTGTTGGGCCGCAGCGTTGCCCTGAAGTCGCCGTCAATCAGCGGCAGCACCAGCCCGTAGGTCCCCGGCTCCTCCAGCTCCAGCAGCAGAAACTGAGTCTCCGGCGGCAGCCGCGCCAGCGTGCTGCCCCACTCGGGCGTCATCCACCACAGCTTGTTGCGCGCGCACGCCAGGAAGCGCCGGAACTTGAGCTGCACGGGGGCGGGAGGGTTGTTGTTGTGTCGTGCAGTTGATGCGAGGGATTTGCCTAATAGTGCGGCATAGCGCTCGCTCGGCCATAGACAGGGCCATACCGCCCTTGAGTAAGCAACGCTGTGCGTTGTATTCGCAGCCACGGGCTGCCGAGCAGCTGCCAGCACGGCACTCCATGCCCATTACAAGCACCGCCAGGCGCCCCCCCTCGCTCACGGCCACGCCCGACCCCCCTGCACGCAATGGCTGAAGCCGACACAGCCAGCACCCGCACCCCGCCCCCGCCCAGCCTTCCAGCCGCGCACCGAGCCCACGACCGCGTCGAGCTGGCTGACAGGGCCGCCCTGGCTGGCCACGCCGAAAACGAGCGCGTTGGGCGGCGAGTCGCGCGGGTTGGGCGCGAGCGACGCGGCGAGCCCGCTGAGCAGCACGCTATCCGCGGCCGGCGCGGCCGCAGCAGCCACCACGACGTCGCCGCCCTCCAGGCGCAGCGGCAGGATACTGGGGTGCTGCGTGGAGATGGGGTTGGGCCCCGAGCCGCCGCCGGCGGCGCTGCCTGCGCCGGTCGCGCCGCCGGAGGGGGCAGAGGCAAGGCCCAAGCCCGACATCGCGTTCAGGCCTGGGGAGGGATTGAGGATTTGAGACGACGGCAGGGTTTACGCCAGCCGGTGGCGCGCACGTCGCACGGCGGCCTGCGCACATGTTGCGTGGCGCTGCTGCCGGGGGCGTGCTCGTGCCACATTAACCTGTGGGCCTGCCCTGCAGGCGCGCACGACACGGTCGTGGCAGCTCCAGCGGCCGCCCGCCATCCCGTCGTCCCTGTGCGCCAGCATGCCCCCACGTCTCTGGCCCCGCGCGGCACCAAACGCCGCGCGCGGCGCGTTGCACGCGAACGCAAGAGGGGCTGCGGACGGCAATCCACTGCAATGGCCGTATTGGCTGCCCTTGCCGCGCTGTGCACCAGTCAACACACATGACGATGAGGCAGTCACCCCACAAGCGCAGCTGGTCTCGCTAGGCGCGCATGCATGCGTGGCTTGGGACGGGCTTCCGCCCATGCACCACCACCCACGCACTGCTGACCTTGCTGGATGAGGCTGCCCACGCCGTTGCTCGCGGTCCCGTTGCCACCGTTCCGCGACGCTGCGCTGGAATCCGCCTGCTGCACCGGTGCCCTCGCACCAGCCCCGAACGCCGGGGGCGCCGCGGGGCCTTTGTCGGCCGTGGACGTCACCCCTCCAGAGGCGCCGCGCTCCGCGGACGCACGAGTGGGGGCCAGCAGTCGGCGGCGCGCCGCCGAGAGGAGCGGCTCCGCGCGTCTGGGCCTGCTGGAGCGGCAAACAGGACACTGCATCAATGTCTGCAGCGTCAAAGCGGAACAGCCCGATGGAAAACGGGTAGCGGGAGCCGCGTGCGCCACCCAGGCGACACGCTGCGAACGTGTCGTCGGTGCCGCACGATGCAGTCACACTGCCGACGCAGCATGGATACACAAGTCCGAGTAGGACACCCTGAAATGCTTGAGATTGCCTTGCAGTGAAACGCTCAGCGCGGTCCGCTTTTTGCCGCAACCTCGTGACAAGGTGATCCGCCCGCGGGCCTCCACGCCCAGAGCGCCCCACAGTGCGATTGTTGCAATCATGCAGGCCCACCTAGTAAAGCCTAGAGGCTGGTATGTCCTGACTGCTGCGTTTGCCACTCCTGATGGCGCCCGGGTCAGTCGATGGACGAGCGCCAGCCCTCCACGCGGGGTACAATGCATGATGCGGCAGCACAAGGCTGCTGTGCTGAGTTTGCGGCCAGGCCAGAGATCGTTTGGTCCGGCCTTTCGACCTGTGTCCACGTGTGACAGGTCAAGGCCGGGAATATGAAGCCTTGTACTGACGTGATGACTGTGGGGCAAGGAAGGGATTCGCGCTCGTCGTGCCTGGTTTGCGGTGTGTCGGGGTGCCTCGCTGGCTATGCCAACACGACAAATCGAGTGAGACGCGTGTGGTGATCTGGGAGACACATCAAATTGTGTTTTGAGACTTAAAGTGTCGTTGAAAGAAAGATTATCACACCTGTGTGTCCAGAGCTTTGACCGTGGTCGTCCTTGGCCGCGTGCTCGACTTTCAAGCAGTAGAAAAAGGAGTGTTGCAAGCCGCATGATATAGTAGCAATTTGAACGAACCGTGCATGCTGACAGGTGCGATGGCGCGTGCACACAAAGAATGGTGTGCGCCACCCGACGCGTGCTTGCGCTGCACCGCCAGCCGCTGACATGCACGAAAGCGCCCCGTCGCCCTGCAGGGCAACCGTGGAGACCATGGCGGGTACGCTGACAAGGACAGGCGGAAGCCTGCCGGACACGCTGTCGCACAAGTCCGTCGTCGAGAAGCAGCGGTGCGTTTAATGCAAGCGCCGCAGCCATCAACAGCCCAGCAGCAGCAGCAGCAGCAGCAGCAGCAGCAGCAGCAGCAGCAGCAGCAGCGACGACGACGACGACTGGCAGTGGTCGCCGCTTTGCGCTGTTGTCATGTGCTGCCGGACATTCGTTTTCTCCTCACAATCAGTCGTGGCTCGCCATTTACAATCGTCGCTATCGCCGTCAACATGTCCCCGTGCGCTGCGCTGCGATTGCGTGGTTTTCCAGGGCCGCGATCGAGAAGCTGCGTGCCCAGAATGCGCGGCTGAAGGAGGAGCTGCTGCTGGAGAACAAGTTCAGCGTGTGAGACCACGCGCCGCCACATAGGATTGGTTGGGCGCACTCGCATTTGGTCGGGGGGCGTGAAGCTAGGCGTGCGCATGGGGAACGGGGCTTGGGGTGCGGCCGCCTGCAAGTGCCGCGCAGGCACCGTTGGGGCCATGCGAGAAGGGTGGTTAGTGGGGCAGGCCGCCTTTCTTGCTGTGGATCACGGGCGTAGGGTGCGCGATTAGGCGCACGAGCAGGCGCCATGGTGTGGCAGCGGCAGGCTGCAGGCATCAGTTTCCAACTTCAACAGAAGCTGAGTCAAGCACCGCGCTGCCCGCCCGCGCTGCCCGCCGCGCTGCTGCACGTGCAGGCGGCCGTCCAACCCCTCGGCCACGATATGGATCAACAAGCTGCAGGACGAGGCGGACCTGTACACACGCAAGGTGGGACTCAAGAATATTCTGGTGTGCGGGGCCGCCGCTGGACTTTCGCTCCTGCTTTTGCTCGGCGATACCGCGGGTTGTGAAGCAGCAGAAGGGGGGACGGGCAGGTTGGCCTCAAGAGATGGAGGCGGGTGTGGTGAGGGTCGGTGAGGGGTGCTGGGGCCGGAAAGCAGGGAGTAACGGCTCGGTGGGGTCGGTGATGGCGCACAGTGTGGTGGTGTCTGCAGCCCAGTCGAACAAGCAAATGTTATCATCATCACTGACCACGCCCGCCTGCCTGGCGGCGTCGCCCTCGGCCCGCAGATCCAGCTGCAGAAGCGGCGCGTCCTGATGCTGCAGCAGCAGCAGGAGGGCGCGAAGGGCACGCTGGGCACGGCGCGGCTCACGATGGGCGGCGTGAACAGCGCGCGCGAGAAGTCGGTGGGGCTGCAGAAGCAGATTACTATCCTGGAGAACAGGCTGGAGAAGCAGTACATCAAGTACAATGAGGTGGGGGCCAAGGGCGTGTTGACATGCGTGACCCAGCTGCCTGGCTTTGCCTCTGAGTTTGGTTCCGGGAGGGGCGGCCGGCAGGGGACGCCTGGGTGTGTGTCGGAGCAGCGCGGGGCAGGGGGCAGGTGGCAGGTGGCAGGGACGGGGGAGGCAAAGCAGCAAACAGACAAGCACGCCTCGCGGAATCCAGGCAGCCACGGGGGGCAGCATGTTCATTAGCAGTGCGATGCGCGAGAGGTGCGGGCGTGCAACCGGCACGGTGGGGTGGACCGTTGTGTGCAGGCCAGTGGCTTGATGGGACGGTGGCCACTGCAAGGGGCGCAGGTACCGTCACGATCCAGGGTGGTGGCAGGTCAACCTCAGGGCGCGACTGCTGTCACGCTGGCCCTGCGGGCGTCCTGAAGCTTCCGTTCATGCCTCTCTCCACCCGGCCCGCTCCTGGATCGCCCCCTCTACGGCCCAGCTGAACGGCCTTCTGCTCACCATACATGGCAGGGCAGTGCCTGTGCCGGCATTCGTCCTTGACCGCACTATTGTTCCCCCACACCCACC